CTACGAAGAATATATATATTATATATATATATATACATATATATATATATATATATATATATATATAAATTTATAGATGTGAAGGAAATATCTGATGCACTAGGCAATTTTGTTTTTTAAAACATATATTGTTACTCATCATGCATTACTTTCTTGGCTCCCAAGGAAGGTATATATGTAGTTGAATGGCATTTAAATTGAATTTCACCCTGAAGGAGGAATGGTACGATGACTAACCAGCAATGATAAGTTTCGGTTTAAACATGCGAGCCGATGTCTCTAGTTGGTCATAATCAATCAGTCCAGTCTTTGGATCAGACTTGTATGGCATCGACTCGAAGAATATGGATGTGGCTGATATCTTTTTCTTCTCTGGAGAGAAATTTTGTTTTTTTAGAAAAAATGTTACATTATTTTATTCAGCATTGCAACAACTAATGACCAGTTATAAACCATGCATGCTTTCATTTATTGCAGTTATCCATTCACCTCTAGACCTACCTGGCAATGGTTGTAGCAAGAGCTACTTTCTTCAGCCTACCTATAAGTACCTAATTATGTTTACAATTAGCCACAGGTTGAAACTTACCTGTGAAAAAGCCATGAGTCAAGTGACCACCATCTGGCAGGTCTAAGCCCATGATTCGACCGTGAGGCCCCACGAGGCCTGTATAGACAGCAAAGTTGGCGGGTGAGCCAGACAATGGCTGCACGTTGACGCCCCATTCTTCAGGGTCTAGATCGAAAGCCTGCAGGCATCGCTCTTGACACAGAAGCTCCATATCGTCGATGTACTCCGTCCCACCGTAATACCTGGGCCATAATAAAAATATTGTTTGTTTGCCCTCACCAGGCGGACTGGACCCGCCAAAAAGGGGCCGACTCCAAATTTTTTTATTGATCTTTCCCATTCTTTTATTTTTTATTTTTTTACAAATTGTATTACTGTACATTATATAAATCTGTAGGCAATACATTATATGTACCAAGCAAAACAAACATTCAACATAAAAGGTGTATCCACACAAGCACGTACACCCGAGCATGTAGACACCATGCTGAATTTGTAAAAAGACCCCCTCAAAAACCTACCTACATACCCAAACTTTTAAGCCTGGGTCGGGTGAGTGCAAACAAAGATTTTTTTAATTGTGGCCCAGTGTGTAGAGGGAGATACATATCGCACGCCACATAGTGAACACATCAGCTGTCCGGTTCACATCTGACCATGTCATGTGCTGATGAGTGTGACCGTGTGATTTAACTATGTCGTGTATGTCGATTGACAATTCTTGAAAGTGGCAGTTGACAGTTTAGAGCAATTATCGACCAGACTGAAGTATTGATTTGTTTACCAATCTAAATTCCTTAAAGGTGAGCATGTGCAGATACATTTAATAATATTCATCAACGTTTATTGTATAAGCAACAAAAAATCCGAGATTTTGACAGTTATATTTCCCACCCCCTGGCAAATAGGTATTCATCACACACCTTGCACCTGGATAACCCTCAGAGTACTTGTTTGTGAGACAGGTAGACAGGGCTTCCATAACAGCTCTGCTAGGGAAGTTTTCAGAAGCAATCAGCTCCAAACCCAGCCTTTGCCTCTGCTTTTCGTTCTGCATTAAAAAAAACATACGTGTGTAGGTTACTTAATTATGTACTGGCCAACTAAAAGACCTCGTGTATACAACATAAACTTATATATTTACTGTAAAGGGCTGTTCGCCATGAATCAGCATTACCACAGGTGCATCTTACTATATTTTTTCGAGACCTTCCCTTCTATATCCCTGAAACTGCACAAACTAAAATACTTATTTTTTACCACCAATATTTTTATTCAAAAAACTCATGCTATTACTTTAATCACCTGCACCCATCTAGTGATAATCTGACCAACACTATTACTTGATTAGCTAATGCACACTAACTTGGTACCTGCATTATGGCCCAGACCTCAGGGTCCGCAGTCTTCAATGGTTCATGCATCCTCCAAGACTTGGCCAAGCGTGCCGTATCCCCAGCCTCTCCAATATTGACAGAATGACCCAGAGATCCCATGTTTCTTCGTTTTGCACTTTATCTAGATTATCACAGATTTTAGTGTAAATAACAGTAAAATGCTAATATGTCTTTGATCCAGTTATTTCTTAAGTAAATGATATTCTATTCTATCACTATATATGATATGCCAGTATATATACCAGTATTATATACCAGTATATGATATTCTATTCACTCACATACAATATTCCTTTTCAACTGTACCAGATTATATACCAGTATATGATATTCTATTCACTCACATACAATATTCCTTTTCAACTGTACCAGATTATATACCAGTATATGATATTCTATTCACTCACATACAATATTCCTTTTCAACTGATACAGTAGCACATTTAGATCAAAGAGTTCTCCCCAGGAAATCCAGAAGAAATGTTATTTATGGACAGAAGGGGAGGGCATAGGAAAGGGTTGTACCAATTGGAGTCAATTATTCATGTCATAAGCAGCCCCAATAGACAGGTAAACTCCATCAGTTATATATAGCGTCGTATACATCAAGTTGTGAAAACACAGAATGACTTTTTTGGAACTCTCAAAAGCAAACACAGCAACGCTGCAAATTAGCTTTAAATTTGAATGCATACGTCACACCCGACATACCTTAAAGGCATAGGGAGAGAACTAGACGTGATGCGGCCATGATGACGAGGCGTGCCGAGGATTGACACTTTGCGTCTTCCAATCACAGCCTACGCCGCACCAGTCTTTTATATTTTTATAGGTGGGCCCGTGGGGACCCATATTGGACCACCAAATTGCCGATCTCAGGAACTATAGGGCATTCTGCTATGTTAGAACGGTTTCCTACAATAGAGTTTGCCACAAATACGAAAATAACACGCTGTTTAGCGCACTGCGCTACGTCCTTCTATCGCATTTTCGCATCTCCGTAATCAGAATAAGCCCCGCCTTCTTCGTTGATGGGCATGAATGGGGCGTCACCGATGTGACGAGTTACTGTACCTACTGTCTTTCGCCAGCCTGTTTACTTTTCGTAAATAATGAAATGTCCGGCCGATTCATTTCGCATCGAAGTGGAACATTTTCGGCATTTTCACTCGCTGTCGGAAGTGAACGAGTGCGTCATTCATTAAACATTGAAGTTTTTCTTAAAATTGAATAATTCCGAAAATCCCTAACCGCGCTACTCAATTGTTTTAGTCAATGAATGTAGCTGTGTGTGTGACGTCTTGCCCGCGCGCTTCATGCTTGGCTTAGCGGGCCTCGAAATGGATATCGGAGGCAGGCACCTCGCAACCCGCGTGTTTGTTTACATATATTATAGCTTTGTGACGAACGGTGTTCGGGAGTTCTGCGATGATAACCTCGTAATTTCTCACATTTCTTAAGGTGCATGGAACATTTTAACAATTTAGTGGTGTCAGTTAGTCACGGATATGTCACAGTAAGTACTAACCGTATATGTTTCACATACGTTCACCTATTTTGCCCATAGGCGGTCGATCATTGTGAAAAATTGTGTGAATATTTACTTTTATTGAGACGTTCCAAGTGCCTGTGCTTTCAACAGTCTTGTACGTCAATGCACGTGCGTCAAGAGCCACAAACTCAACACAATTTCATCTCTGTTATTGTTTACGCCTGAATGCGTGATTGATCAGGAAGGAGGTGCATGTAAGAGGGAGACATTTTCTTTGGGGTTCCGAAAAACTTTATTCCACTGGACAATTTCATGGGCCATTTCAATTGGAAGCTCTGCATAATGGACCCCCAACAAGCCCTTTTTGACTGACCAGTCAAGAAATTCAAAGGTCTGTATATTGCTCTTATTTAGCCGCCAATAGTTCTTATTGTAGTGATTTCGGATATCGGACTTGTGCCTAGCTAATAAACTGGCTAGGTAATGTGTATAAATCAAAGTATAATAACGAAAGGATATATATTTACAACTACCGCCATGGGCGCGGCCATCTTATATCTGCGGGACTAGTCAGAGATT